GCCTTTGTACATTTGGGCAAGGAGGGAGAATAAATCTTTTTAAGAGACAATCACAAACCTGTGAGGGTGGCTTTTTCTTCCTGCTCGCCCCAGTTCTGGTCCTTTGTCCGTCCCCAAAAGCTACACCCAGTGATTTTTCTTTGTGGGGAGTCATGGGTGGGGGGGGAGCATCCTCACCTTTGGTGCAGCTGCGAGGGCGGAAGCAGACACTGCTCCTGATGCTGTACTTGTGGGTCTGCAGCCACTGCCCCCTAGCACCCTTCTACTTGCTTGCACCCAGTGCTCTGCCACCAGCAGACACAGCCTCATGCTGGGACACTGCAGCTGAGCTCTGTGTGACAGTTTGGGTTGCTTGAAGCCCTGGGCACGAGCAAGGGACTGCCACCCCCTGGCCCACAGAGCCCCTTCCGGGGAGGCAGCAGGGGGCTGGTCACAGGGCAGAGCTTGCCTTCCCCAACCTCATGACAGGGGTGACCTGGGCAGGAGGCAGCATCCAGAGAAACCAGAAGCACCGTTTAGAGCTTCAGGAGAGTACTGCTGAAGATGCTGATGTGAGACCTCATCTGACCATACGTGCTTGAGCCAGGACAGCACAGTGCTTGGTACTGGTCAGAGAAGCACATGCTCCATAACTGCAGAGTATTAATGAGCGCAGGAGCTCATCCTCATGCCAAGCTCCCATCATAAGAACATTGCACTTTACCCGTACATTGTACCAGAGAGGCAGAGGGCAGGAGCAGGGCCCTGGAGCTCACAGGAACATCCAGGGACATCCTGGGAAGGAGAAAGGATGAGACTTGGCCCTTCAAAAGCCAGAACTAGACACCACTGTTTCAGCTGGGGAATAGGGACAATGTGTCATCTGTCCCCATAAGTTCCCTGGAGCGATGACAGCTGGGCCTGAGGTGTTCTCAGCAGCACAGCCTCTCATTTTAACACCAGATTCAGGATCTAATGCCCCACTGAGGGATTAGAGCTACGAGCCCTTTGCTTTCAGGGGAAGGGAAGGAGGAAAAAAGAGACAGAAAGTTTAAGATTATTTATTCACACAAACTTGTATCCCAGCCCCACCTCTCTCCCCCAGACAGAAAACACTGACCATGACATTTATGGAATGGCTCAGCTTCAGCTTTTAACAAAATCCCCCCTCAGAAGGGCGAGAGCACAACAAAACACACGGGACAGTTCCATACTCAAGCAGCCAGGCCAGGCAGAGCTCATCGCGGGGCACAGTGCAGAAACACACCCTTCTTGCATGGCCTTCCCAAGAAAGCCACCCCCATTCCATCCATGGCCCAACGACAAGAGCACAACCTCATTCTCCAGCAGAAGGGGCAAGGTTGAAATGCAAGTGACCACTGGCACCAGGCCCCATCTCTCTATGCGAGGAGAGGCCCTGGACAGGGAGAACATCCCACTGCAGCCAGGGGAGCTGCCACCCACATCTGTCCCCACACACAACCCCCTTTGGTTTGGGTACAGCCGTCAGCTCGGTGCCTCAAGTCCTGAGACCATCTCTTTGGAAAGGTGAGGAGGAAGAACAGAGGTGGTGGCCTGGTCCGCACCCATCCTTGGGAAGAGGGTAAAGGCTTGAGCTTTTTGGCTCTTTGACGAATCACACCACAGGCAGGGAAGAAATGTTGACCCAGAGCAGACATGTTGCTCCAAACACTCACTTGACCCTCCGAGACCATCGCAACACTATGGGCCCACCAACAGTTCTGTTCCTTTCAAATAAGCAGCCCCAGCTGTGTGAAGTTCATCGGAATGCCCCTTTTATTGAATGCTGTGATAGCGCAGTGGTAACATTGAACAGAGTTAAGACTGCTTAAAACAAAAGCTGGAAGAGCAAGAAGTTTAAAAAGGGTGGGGGGAAAGGAAAAAGAAAAGGTTAGACCAGTTAAACCAGCATTGGTCGCCCGAAAGGGGAGACGCATGGGGGGGGTTAATGTAGTGTTAAAGGTTAAGCTTGAGCACATCTCCTCCACGTGCCTGACACTCAAAACATTCCTCCTGCTTAAGAGTCTTGAGTGAAAAGTCAAAATGTAGTCTGTCAGATGAGCACACATTGGGTGACTGGGGAAGGACCAACACAGATTAAAGAAGTCAAGGAGTCAGTGCTGCACCTACGGCTGTGCTCCCCACACCCAGCCCGGGAAACCAGGCGCCCCAAGGCTAAGACACCACGCAGCTGCACGTAAAGAGCTCCTATGCCAGTTCATAAAACATCTTCCATTTACTATTTGGTGATTACATGTGTGTATATATAGTTCTCTAGGCAACACATTTCAATGAGATAGTCAACTCTGAGGATACACAGGCCAATCTAACAATGAAAAATGCAGTTTCAGTCCAACAGAAGCTTGTTTTCCCTTTCCTCAAGAAAGGAGATTGAACCCTTTCTCCCCTCAACAGCATTTCCCGGTCACACTGGAGTTCCTCACTGCAGCTATTCTTCATCAGAGGAAGAGTTCTGATCCAGGGGGTACACCATGAACATCACATCTGGCCGCGACGGGACAGAGGGGTGACCAGGCCTCACAATTTCAAAGCCCAAGAAGCTGAATGTCTTCAGGAGAGGAGCTACCAAAGAGAAGGAAATCTGTTACTACCAGGAATAATCCTCTTTACCTCTGTCACCTTAAAAGCCACAAACATCAGCACCTTCTGCAAAGGCATCCAGAGCTTCCTGTGCAGAAAGAAGCCATTTTAATGTGACAGCCCCTCAAATGGGAGGCTGTGTCTCCTCCAGTATTCATCACAGCTGCTCCTAAGCAGGAAGGGGATTTTGATTATGCAGCAGAGCGGGTTTGTTCATCTTTACCCTGTGATGTGTCTTCGATCCCCTCTGAGGAACAGCGATGGTTTAATTATCTACCTGCACCAGATGCACAAACCCACTTTCCTGCACGTGGCCATTGCAGCACATCACAGCTCTTACTCTGTACTTAGGTGGGTCCTGCACCCGTTGAGCCCTGAAAGTAGGTGAGACAGCAGCAAACAGGAATATACTTACTCAGGGTCTAGGTAGGCATTTGCTCTGCGAGGACCCAGAGCTCAGTGCAACTCCAGACAGCCCAGCCCAGCTCGATGTGTTCCCCAGGAAAGCCAGCATGGGTTATGCACAGAAACTGAGAGCAGGTTCAGTCCAGAAGCTCCCCACACCCCTGGTCACAGTTACGCAGTGACAGGATGTATCCTCGCTTGTGCTAAAGCATCACTTCCCTGTGACCTATGGATGCTACCTGGTGCAGCATCAAATCTCTGTGGCACCCTCTGATGATTAGCTCCAAGACACTGAACTCCAGAGGAGCTCCCAGATACCTATTTTCAAGACAGCACCTCATTTCAATTGCACAGAGGAGGACCCAGGATCTGGAATGTTCCAGACCTCATACAAATAAGCCAGGTCCAAGAGCAACACAGAACCCATTTTTAAAGCCAAACCCCAGTATCAGACACCTCCTGTGAGCAGCCACTGTGGAGGTCACTAATGCAACCTGTGGCACTGGTGACATTATAGCAAGAGCTTAACCTGAAAATTATTCTTGGCATCACAACATGGACTGACGTGTTCCTGGGCTCACCACAGCTCAGCTCCACTAACGGGCTTTGTGTCAGAAGACAGTGCAGCTTGTGAAGCAGCAGAGTAAAATTAGAATTCAGGTTTGAACTACTCCTGCCATGGCAATTACTTGGTTATAAGCCTGTGTCTGGTAAGATTTAAAGTGACATATCCATAGCTTGGTACCTCACCACAAATCTCCTCAAACTTCCGTGCTGTAATCACTCATCCAACGCATCTATCTTTAACTCCTAATGCAGCCCCCTTAAGCCATAAGCATCTAGAGCCAGGGTCAGGATTACCTTTAAGTCTAGGAATGGAAAAAAGTGCTGGGAGATCTTTTAAAAGCAGATAAACATCTGGGCAACAAGCTCTGAGTGTTCATTAAGCACCAGTCCAGTATTTAAGGGTGGCTATTAAGAAGATGGAGACGCCCTTTTAACAAGGAGTCCCACGGAAAAGACAAGGGATGATGGGCACAAGTTCTTCCCAGAGAGATTCCAACTGGACACCAGAGGAAAATTCTTCACAATGAGAATAATCAACCTTTGGAATAACCTCCCAAGGGACGTGGTGACTCTCCAGCGTTGGACACTCAAGATTTGGCTGGACAGGGTGCTGGGACATCTAGTCTAGGTCATGCTTTGCCTGGAAAGGTTGGACCAGATGATCCTTGAGCTCCCTTCCAACCTGGGACCTCATCTTGATTCTGTGTTTTCCTACGTTATGGGAAATAAATGTTTTTTATCCCATTTAACTTCTCCCATTTCTCCTTCCAGTCACAGAAGTCTGGTGCAAAACAGAGACCCTCACTCCTTACCAAAGGAGACAGACAAAGCAATTTCTGGACAAGAAAATACTCCAAGTAATTCAGAAGCAGCTTTCAGCATGACAGTACTAGTCGTAATTTAATGACAGGACAGCAAAGCTTATCTGCTGGAGAAACCAAAAATACACCCTCTCCTTTAGTCTCAAGAAAGGGCTTACTTCCTCCACAAGAAATCATTTCTAATTTGTAAGAACACCATGAGAATTACACATACAGCAATTCCTGCAATAGGCAGTGTCCCACAGAGCCCTGCCCTGGGATTACCACATTTTTCCAGTGCTTCAGCGGTGAATCTAGGGAGCAAACCTGACAGTGGAGGGGAGGTCTCACCTCTATCTTCTCTGCTTTTTCTGAAGCAAATAAAGACGTAGTTTACTTTCATTTTTTCTTCAGCAAACTCCAACAGTGCTGACAGCCTGCCAAGGAGGAGGAAGACAAAAGAACATCAGCCATAGGAAGTCCTGTCCTGAGGAAGCCTCTGAGCATTATCAACTGTTTGGATGTTTTCAGGCAGAAAGATCACTTGTTTACAGCCCCCTTCCAGCAAACAATGGGTGCTGAAACAATGGGTTTCCTGCTTCACTATCCACCCCTGCAGAACCCAGAGCTGTCCTCACACCAAGTCACCTAAGTCGCTGTCCTTGGCCAGTGCCAGCATGCACAAATGCCTGTCCCCACCACACAGTGGTTTTGTACAGAAGCCTTCGTACATGGGGAGCTGAATACCGCAGCTCATCCGAGCCAGGCTATGGCCCCTCCACTGGCAGCATGTACAGGGAGGTCTGTAACGTTTATGCTTTATGGGAAGGGATAAAAAACCAACATCAAAAAACGAGCTCCTGCCAGGCAGAAGACCAAAGAAAACCACCACTGAAGGAGCCCGTGTGCAGGCAAAGCAGCATCCTGAGCACATCAGCTGCATGGCACAACTGGCACTCCCTGAATCAAAACTTCCATCTTTACAGCTAAACTACTTCTGCAACTCCCTGATGGAAGCAGTGCTGCATGAACCCCTCTCCGGGCCATGGCAGTCAGCACAGCAGAGCTATCGCTGTCACTGCTGGCCTTGAACCAGTTCGGATGCAGGCTGCTAGAGCAGTGACAAACAGGGCCTCAACTGACACCTAACTGAAGAGCAGTCAGTGAGCCTGGGCTGCAGCAAGGAAGATTCAATTTGTGTTTGTTCATGTGGTAATGAACTGCTATAGCCTCTGCCAGGCTGTTTTACCTAGCTAAAAATGGTCTGGCAAAATTGAGCTCTAAGTCATAATGACATAGGTGCATAAATACCCTCCCAGAAGAACCCACTCCTAAGAGAACAAGCACTTGGACAGCTCAAACAGTTACGGGATGAAGAAATTACATATTTATCTAGACTGAGTAAAATGAGACAAGTGTGAAAAAGCAAAAACACTGTCACTTACTGAAGGTGACCAGTGAGGGTATTTTTCTTAATTAGCTTGTGTCATTTACAGATGAAGCCTAGTTGGAGATTTAGGAGGACTTCAGAGAGCTCTGCAGAGGAATCCAGTAAAGCCACATCTACGCTACAGTGCTCCCCACCAGCGGAGATCTCTGGCAAACCACTTGGCAGGAAGGAGCTGCTCTGGAAGCTGCGTTTACACAAACTTCCCAGAGCAGAGCTGTCTGGACAAAACACTGCTGTGTTCTGCCAACAGAGAAAAATCAGAGGCTCTGGCAGAGCCCAGCGCCTGCATGGCAGGACTCCAGGAGAGATCCACCTACTGAAGAAGCGCATCAATATAATGGAGTTTTGGGTTTGTTTTTTTTTCCCCCTGAAAGAGAGGAAATCGCTGCCAAGATAAGCTGACAATGAGCTTGCCAAGTGGCCAGCAAAAAAAATAAAATAGAACCCCAAAAATTCAGGAAAAGTCTTGTAGATTTTCCGTGCCCAAGTACACAAAGAATCACTCTGTTCATTTACTATTTTTCATTAGCACAGGGGCTCAAAAACCAGTAAGCCATCTAAAATATCACTGGAGAGAAAAACAAATGTATGGAGGACAAACAGGAGGGCAGCTCTCTGAAGACAAGGCAGTAAGGACATAGATACACAAACCTGGAACAGAGCTGCCATACACAGAGCCCGTTCTCCCTGCATGCAAAGCATCATCCATGTAAGCACAGTCCTGCCCCCTAGGAGCCTCAGATGCAGCTCTGGGATCCTGAACTTACCCTTCTTTGCTCCCATCAGCTAATAATCCGTCAGGGATTTCCACAAAGAGGCTCTGATTAGAGAGCACTGCATCCCAGGAGGAGGTCTTCACCTCTGTGACCTTGTACTGGAAGTGGACAATATGAGGCTTCCCTTCGTGCACTGGGACATCTTGGTTAACAGTGATCTTCTCGTCCTGTGCAGGGAAGGCGGAGAGCTCATGAAATAAGCTTTAGGGTTAAAGAAAACTTTCCATGAGATTGTAGACCAAAAAAATCTAACTGATCACACTTGAAGAGCATGCAGAGGGACTGTTTTCAATGGGAGCACCCTTCTGACAAGAGACCAGCCCTTACAGACTGGTGTGTGTCCAGAATTTCAGCCTGTCACCGGAATTCACACCGTGAGACTCACCATAGCTCATGAGGGTATGCACAGTCTGCTGCAAGCTCATGTCCAAGTCTCAGAGCTCTAAACAAGTGTTTAAGTGGGTAAGAGGCATTGCTCTGAACTACCTGTAATACCTTGCTTTTATTCTAACCTAATACAGAAATATAGGGGAAAAAAAAAAAAAAAAAAAAAGTAAAGCCCTACATACTAAACAGCCAGGAGAGTGTAACCAGAGAGAGCAAATGCAAAATAAATGGTATTATAGCTTTACTAAGAACAACATTATGCTTTTCCCTTCCCCTTTCACTGGCTCAGGTACACACCACAATGAGTACTGAGACCTCACAGTGATTTTCTAGTCATGTTTTCCTCTTTAAGGGAATGTAATTTTGGATATTTACATTATATTCTGGGTAATGACAGTCCATCATCACTGCAGGTTGCAGTCACATCTTTGAAGGGCGGTTCATGAACTACCCTTCAAAGAACACAGCTTGAATCAGAAGCTGGAAGAGCATCTGCTGCTGCAATCTGACCAGTTTCATTGTCTCCCCATTCCTCAACACGGTCTTTTTGTTCAAGGGATGACCACAAATTGCTTTCCCAGATTTTACAACCAACTGGAATGGCAAATGGTTTGTCTCCTCATATAAGGGAGGAAAATAAATACACAGCATGGAGAGAATCCCAAAACAGAGAGAAGCTACAGAGACTTGAAGATTGTGAGGAGGTCTCTTCCAGAGACTACAAATGTATATGTCCCTCTCCAATACTGCTCTAAGGAGCATGCCAAGCATGCAGACCACCTCAGACTCAGCCCAGCAGTTCCTAGAAAACAATTTTGTGGTTAAAACTCCATTCCTTCTCCTGACAGTTTCTGCAGGCAGTTGGCTTACCCAGTGAACAACAACTACATTTCACTGCAAAGAGCCCCAGTGAAACGATGAAGAAATTCATTGGGTTCCCGAGTTAACGTTGTCAGCTGCAACTGAAGCCGAACTGTTCCCACCTGCTCGGTTACAGGCTCATGCATCCTGAGTCCCTCACACTTACAAAGTCACCTGCACAGCTTTAAAGGGCAGAAGCAAAGCAGATATTGGAAGTCACGTCTGCTCTGTTCCTCAGTCACAGGAGTACCTGGGAAGGCCACGTGTCCCTCTCTCAACCTCACCAGCAGGTGGGACTGAGGTTGTTCAGTCCATCAGGGCACTAGGTCCAGTCTCCAGGCATTTAACTGTAACAGGGTGATTAATTCAGCAGCTCGTTGTGAGCTCTGATCTGCTGGTGACCAGCTGGACTGACAATGACACAAGTGACATTCCTGCAGAGACAGCACCTCACCAGATGAGTTTTAATACACTCATCTCTGACCAAACCATGCACAGAGAGCCAGTATAGCAAAGAAACCTCAGGTCAGTTTGGATCTGCAGTGAAGCGGCATTTAAAAGATGGGCAGTAGGAACACATTAGCAGCCAATGGTGCTCATTAAGAGTGTGGAAAGACTCCTCAGTTTTGCCACTTTTCAAGCGGATGTTGTCTCGTGGGTGTTTTAATCTCTGACAGTACGAGTATTGCTGAAAGACCAGCAAGTGGTTCAGCAAAAATACCACCAAGAACCTTTCCAGGCTCCTCAAACCCATGTCTCACTGCTTTAGTTCCTATTACCATGTATATTAAAATAGATCCCTCTTAGTTTGACTATTGTGACAAAGAAGAAGCCATCAAGTATGGTAATGCTGGTGACAAAATAACACCGCATGTAAATGAGGAACTGCCTGGCTTCAGTAACCGGAGCAGAGGAAGCTGCCGTTTGTTTAAAGCCCACAAAGCTTCGCTGAAAAACAAGTTTACACTTCAACAGAATAAATATCCTGTAGGAAATAAGTTTATTCATCAAGTTTGAAAGAAGTTTTCATGGCTGCACCTACTGCCGGGTTTTACTAGTTTTAAGCCAAGTGCCCCAAGAAACCTACTGACAGCTCTCAAGTGAAGTCAGACTGCAGCTGAGCCAGCAGCACCTGCAGATCTGAGCCCAGAGGGAGCTCTGCATTACAGAGGTGTATTTAAAACCCAAAACAAGGGGATTATACGCACATCCTTCAGCAGTGACTTCATAGGAGCCTTTTACAGTTGTTGTTACCGAGCAGAAAATGTCTCTGTTTCAGAAAAGATCCTTCTCTCCAGAAAAGCTCACAGATGCTTCTTTTCTTACACTTCATGAAAACAAAAACAGGGTGAGGAAGTTGAGAAAAGCAGGCTGGGATTGGCACATTGGAGGGGGAGGCACACGCATGCATTTGCGCAGGAAGACTGGCAGCTTAGCGAGCCCCCTGGTTTACCCCTTCTATCATCAGAAGTTATGCCCTACACTCCAAACGTAGCGGGGGTTTTCCACTTAAAAGCCTCCTAATGCAACAGCCCGTGAACCGAAGGCAGCACAACCACAGGGATTAACAGAACCAGTTCCCCTGGTTCAGTGGGAATTACGTTTACACAGCCTGTCTGGGGCAGCTGATACTTTATTTCTAGGCATCGAAATGCCTAGAGATGCTGGGGAGAGAAGCTGTTCCTGTGAAGCAGCAGCCCAGAATTCTTTGGAAGCTGCTCAAAGCAAAATCCTGGTTTACACGACAAATGTTCGGTTTTTAGTTCACCCCTGCAAAATCCTCCACCACGTTATTGTGGGAAAAAAAACCTCCACCAGACTCTCTTCTATACCCAGCTGCCTAAACCACCGCCCAGCTGGCCCTCAGCTCCAGCTCAGCGCAGTAAAGACACAAGGACCAACTTCCACTTGCTTACAATTCATTAAGCACAAGATTTTCCAACCCAGCTACACTCCTCAGACGCTCCAAGGACGAGGGGAGGTCCCTGCATGTTGGCAGTGCAAGAAGAAAGGATGTTATTGATCTGCCATAGCCAAGCAACTGAAGGACGTGTGTAAGCAGCCTCCTGCTGGCATGTGCTCCACCTGCAACCTCTTGCCAAGCCTGCGAGCCACAGCATATCCGTTCACACAAGCCTGTCCAGGCTGTGCAGCATTCCCAGCTCAGGTAAAGCTCCCCTGACCAAGGGCCGAATCTTAAGTTTCTTACACAAAAATAACAACTATTGGGAGGAGCCCTGGCTGCTGAACTTACAGCACTATTGTATGCAAATACTGTGCTGTGTGCTCTGAAGTAGGCAGGCTTGTTCAGAAAGGTCACCTCCTGAGCTACACCAGCTGATACAGCTGGAAAAAGGACTTAAGCTTTTTGGGTCCAGATGCCTTTCCAGGTCACGCAGAAGCTTGCTGGCAGCAAAGCTCAGCACCAGTCGATTGAGCAGGTGACTGAGGGGAGCAGAGAGAGGCCTGGTAAACCCATCTTAGGTCTGACTAAACCACTGGGCAACACAGCCACTCTAGTCCTTCAGAATCATCCCTACAGAAGGGGATGATTTTCTGACAGATTCTGCTAGGTTTTGTCAGCAATAAACCCAGGAATAAACCCATCCATATTTCTGGGATGCAGCTACCTAGATGACATCCTCACAGGCAGTAAACCCTGCCTACAGGCCACCACCAAAAGCTTCTGTGCAAATTCAAGGCCATGCTGAAATCAAACACTTCAAAGTCTCCGAAGTCTGGGGTTCTTCCCTCCACGCTGAGCCTGTTTTCTGCCTTTGGACCTTGCCTGCTGTGTGTGCCAGGCTTGGCAAAGCAGGCCTGCGAGAGTTGAAGCTGCAGGGTCACCTATTTCTCATCCCCTTCCACCCAGAGGGAATTCATTATTTGTCCCAAGCCCTCTTGAAGCTATTTATGTATCATCTTGATCTGACAGGAAGCCCATTGTGCTCTGCTGCTTCTTTGGATTTCATACCCCTCTAACATCTGTGACAATTCAACTCAATAGCATTAAGCTGATATTATAAGGGGGCTACAGAGGTTGACATTTATGCACAAGGTAAGTAGGTGAGGCATGTGCTAAAAATTCACCAAGGCTGCATAAAATAAAACTCCTCTGAAAACAGATGTGAGGTCTGTGATTCTCATGAATTTCAAGAGGAGACTTTGGTAGCCGTGACCCAAAAGGGCCTTTATCTTCTCATCACATGAAGTCTATGTGCCTCCCACAGGGTAATTAAAAATCAAGTCTAACACCTATGACGACACTCCTATCTGAACAGCCAAATTTGCACGCTGAGCATAAATTTAGGCAACCTCATCTGATAGCACTTTACTCCCCAGCATGTGGAAAAGCAGCCCCTGGCCAGAAGGGAGACAGATGTGCACCACCATAACACAACATGAAGTTCCACACATACCAGTTATTCTACAGCAAGGAACTGCCCACTCCTCATTCGAAGGGAAAGGTCCTGCAGCGTGAGGAGGGCCAAAACCCAAGCTACACAGATCCTAAGCAAGTCTGCACATACGTTCCTGATCTTCCCTTGTCCTATGCCCCTGTTCTAGTCATGTTCCAGCTGTGTCTTACGCTTGAGTTCTAGAAACGTTCTGGCTGCCTCACCCTTTTGTGAAGTCAGTAGTAACTCTGTGCAGCTTTACCTTCCGGACTAGGGCACAGGAAGGAGCTTATCAACCATTCTCTCTCTGCATTTCACCTTTCTGTTTCCCACTTCCTCTTTTTGCAAGACATTCAAGAAGTTGTTTGACGTTTTGATAATGCTGGCTCCACACAGAATAGCTGAAACAGGCCTCTGGGAACAGGACTGGGGAGTTATTTACTGCACGCCATTGAGAAAAGGTCTCTTGTTTCTTAGTAGGCAGGTGATATTTAAGCAGGAGAGCACTGCATGCAGCTCAGCGATCTGCCAACAGAGCCACTGAAAAATGAACTGTTCTCCCACTTATCACCTCAGAGTTATTTGCATTTATTCCCATCAGTCTGCAAGAGGAACCAAACACAGTTGCAACACGGGTACAGGTCATTATTTGGATGTCAGATCTTTCTCACCTTATATATCAGAGCTGAAAGAGAAGGATCCCTGCTACCCCCTCGCCCACCGGGGATCTTCGACAGTGGGTGAGGGGCATCAGGAGCACCACAGAGGCCCTGGAACAATGTGCCTGCAGCACTGCAGCTGGGGACAGTTACTCAAAGGTAAAATACTACTGCAAGAAAAAGAGAGAGAACACCAGGTTACATTAGCAGGGATCATGATTCAGGTGCTACAGCTCCTCACTACCCCAACCTACTCGTACCCCTGCCCCTCCACAGCATGTAAGAGGCAGCTATCACAGCTCTAGTGCCCGGACACCCATGTTAAAAACATCCCTGGCCCAGGCATGTCAGAACCAGCAGCTGTTTGTCAGATGCAGAGGGGTTTGCAGCCAAGAACCCAGAGAGTGCTGAGCAACCTCATGCTAATAGGGACCCCTGGAAGGCTGCCAGCAGCAGATGGCTGGAAACGCATGACCAGATGAGCACACATTTTCTATAGACAAATATCTACAAATAGATCAACAGGACCCAGAAGGAAGAGGTTTAAGTTTCACATTTTCAAAACCAGGAGGAGTGAAAGGGCTGGTTCTTCAGATATTTTTTGAAGGCTCTACAACATCCGAGCTGACATTTTCACATGCAAATGAAACATCATACCAGCACCCTTCACTCCAACCCTAAACATTACAAGTTCATGCCACAGGTCTACTTTTACAAACAAGAAGTTTCCCTTGCAGTTTGTAAATTTGTTTGGATGTCCTAAACGTGATCTTTCAGCATCACTTTGAGCACAGGCTTTGATATCTGCTCTAGCTTTTAGGAAGTTAATGAAGGCAAATTATTTTACTTCTGGAGCATTGCTTCCTTTATCAGTACCACAAAAGCTCTTAGCTGAGGCAAAGCACAGCAGTGGTATTCCTCTAACAATGCCTGCAAAAGCAACGCAGAGAAACCAGTTGTTCCCCGGTGTTCCCATTATGAAACACGTCAGCGCAAAGCTATGTAAACACCACCAAAATAAAGGGGAGTGTGGGGGGTTTCAGTAAGCACAGGGAGCTAGAAACAAAGCTACGATGGGCAGGCTCTGTAGATGTATTGACGACTTACTGTCTGTCCTAAAACTTCTCACTTGAGCTGTTTTTCCACTCTAATCCCTCTCCCCGAGGGCGACAGGTTTAAGTATCCAAAGACAAGCACTGAGCTGCACTGTCAGAATCACCTGCACTGCCTACACAGTGCTGCTAGAACCCATACCAGACTGCAGACAGACTACTGAAACTTGGCATTTCTGAATGCCAAAAAATAACTCGCAAACACAGTTATGACACAGGCAGAATTTGCTAAGATCTTGGCTTGCCACCTCACACCAAAATAATCTTCCTACAGGAAACACAAATATTCTTCCTCCATGTATCTCCTCCTCCAGGTTTGCCAGACTGGGCTCTTCAGCAGCACGCCCATGGCCCACAGCAGGCACTTGTTGGAGAAAAGGCTGTTTAAATAAGCTAGGAAGAGATAGAAAGCAGTTGCAGAGTAGCTGTCTCGGGGCAAACCCCTTTGCACACATGCTCAGTGGCGTTTTGTGTTAATACAGTCCCTCCTCAGGCATGACTGGGGCTATCAATGGACCAGTGTGTATTCAGTAGTAGTGGTTGCTGAGAGGCATGACAAAGCACTTTGCTGTGCCGTTCCCCACCCCCAGAAAGCTGTTGGCAGCTTTGTTATTCCCTTCCCTCCTCCCTCACCCCTCAGTCAACAATGTGCTATTGATAGCTCTCTCCAACTTGCGGCCAAGGCATCAAGAAGCTGGATAATGAAGTGTAGTTGTGGGAAAAAAAAACAAAATTAAGAAGAAAAAAACCCAACAACCCAAAAAACACACATACACCAAAAAAAAAAAAAAAAAAAAAAAAAAAAAAAAAACACCACCCACCAAAAAAAAAACAAACAAAAAAAAAAAAAAAAAAAAAAAAAAAAAAAAAGAAAAACCAAAGGAAAAAACCCACCAAACAACAAAAACAACCAAAAGAGAGAGGCTGTAGTTTTCATGCAAAGCAGTCCCAGACACTTCCCAGTTTTGCATTGTCTGGCACATGCAGAAGTCACTTCAGCCGCCGAGCCCTGCCTGTGGCACTGGGGCTTCGCCTTGCCACCACTGTCCTGCCCCAAAACTTGGCTCCGGCAGCCAGGTAGGGTCCCGAGAGCAGCACATGCAGGACAGCACCATCAGGCAACACTGGAGGGGGAGCATGTGGCACACATTAACAGAGATTTTGCTTCCTCTAGAATCACCCTGGGAAGAAGTTCATGCAAGCACCCAATAAAGTCCAGTCCCCTCATGCACCCCTGCGCGAGCAGCCCACTGCAACTCTGCTCCCCAGGCCTGTTACACTTAACAATTAGGATCGTGCTTCCATTCAGCCCCTCTTCTGAGAAGCTGCTTTCCAGCAGCTTGGTTTACATTAAAATGCATTTGGATCCCCAAGGGCCTTTCCCCAAAGGAACTCCCAAGCAAAAGCTCCTCAGTGACCGAGCCCAGCCTGAAACAAGAGCTGGAAGCAAGCGCAGGTTTTCAGCCAGCATGTATAATTTTAACTCGCTAAGCTTCCAGCGATCCCAACCCCGTGCCCTGGCCCTGAGAAGCGCAAAGGACAACTCGGCAACTTCTGAACCCCATCACGGCTCCTCTTCAACACCCCAAGCCCCAGGCCAATGCTGCTGTCACTCCACAGTAACAGCCAGCAGCTTGGGGCCCAAACCCTAAACGTTTTCTTGAGTTTTGGAGGTCTTCTCTGCACCAAACACTTGGACCAGACAGGAGGATCCACACAGCTCACCTGACATTACAGAAGCAAAGCTGGTTTTGCTTGTTTTCTTTTTTTTACCCATTTTCAAAACAAGCTCTGAAGATGCTGTTGCACTATGCCCATAATAGTAAGATCTTATGCTGTGAGCCATGGCAAGTCACGTACTAAGGAACCTGATTTGAGGATCAACTTGTAAATAACTGCCTGATGAACACAGCGCAGCTCAGGTATCTCCCCTACATGCAACAGCCAAGAAACAAGGCTGTTTACACACATCCTCCAAGTACTTATTTACTCGCTATAGTAGAGCGTCAGGAAATTACTTTTGGGACTCTGAACAGGGAGCAGACACACAAGATTATTTGGTCAGCTGAGAACAGAAACACCCAGAAACGGAGTGAACTCATGGCCAGTGACAGCCAACGTGCCAGAAAGAAGCACCTTTCCTTGGAGATGCCCCATCCCTGGCAGTGTTCAAGGCCAGGTTGGACACAGGGGCTTGGAGCAACCTGCTCTAGTGGAAGGTGTCCCTGCTCGTGGCAGGAGGTTGGGACTGGATGAGCTTTAAGGTCCCTTCAACCCAGACCATCCTGTGATGCTATGACTGCGGGAGGGAGGGCACAAGCCCTGCCCGGCGTTAAACTCCTTTTAGCAGAAGGGAGCTCACCGACTCGCTGCCGCGGTGCCCCCCCAAGCAAGACCCAGCCCCGGAGAGCCCACCCGCGCGGAGCTCTGCGCTCACGGAGAAGCGAGCGGTTCGA